GTTCCCAAGCCAAGTCCCTATACACTGAGCTACAGCTGCCCAAAATGTGTTGTAAATGTAAATGTATATCTGTTGTATTGTTTTTATGTGTTGTGTGGACCGCAGGTAGAGTAGCTAATCAGCTAATGGGGATCCAAATAAAATCCTAATCCAACATTACTACTGATTACATCATGAATCTCAGTTCAACAGAACCTTTTCTGTAGGTCGATAAGATCCATCTAGCTAAAACTGATGCAGTAACTGCAATAACTTCTACCTTCATGAAGTTTATGATGTTGATTTTATGATCATTTTGGAGGATGTAGTTTCTGTTTCTAATATTTTGTCCACCACATTTTTATAAATGGGTACATAATATCTCACTCATTGTGACACAATACAGTTCAACAACATAACACAACATACTACATCCCCTGAAATCACCAAACAACTGAAAACCTCAGCATTATTATTGCTGGGCTGTTGTATTAGACTAGATTGGTGTAAACTAGGTGATCCTAATAAACTGGCTACTGAGTGCATATACCTGCAGCTCCCAACAGAAATCTTAAGGAGAAACACCGGAACCATCATGTCTTATGTTCTAATTTTGTATTTAATGAAGTAGTTACTAAGTGAATTATTCACAAGCCTAAACATAAAATTGCATTGTGCCAAATATGTCATGAAGGCAGCACATAATGTGTTGTTTTAATCAGCAGGACTGCATTCAACAATCATTTCAGGCTCCGTTTAATATTCCTATTATATTATATCCTACTCTGAACATATCTGATATCTTGAAACTCTCCACGGGAAAGAGTAGGTGGAATATTCATAAACACACCAGCAGCTGCGATGCTGTTACCAGCAGTCTAACTAGACAGACGCCAAAATGCTCTAAGCCAAAATACATACCAGCTCCACAAGCTTCTCGAGGAAAGGAACAAGCTTTAGAAGCTCATTGTCGTTTCTATCCACAAACCAGCTCTCAATAGGAATCCCATTGGAAAGCTGAAAAAGAAACAAAATGTATGCTCTAGTTTCACTGTGACACAGAAACATTGGTTAAGATTTTTTAAATGTTTTAAAAACTAGTTTAGTTATTGGTGTGAAGACGTTTTACCTGATAAGCAAAGGCTTGGGGTGAGTTGTCGATTATTATCGTCTTGGAAAGATCTCGTCCGAGTATGTTTAGGTCTTTAATGTAATTTCCTTGAACACACACACAGTGCTCACGAAATAGCCTGTGCCTAAAAAACACAGAATGAGAGAATATTCCTCAGTTGAAACGTGCAATGATACATCTTTTACTGAAAACATAACCTCCTTGGAAGGGTTTTTAAAAAGGTCAAATTCATTCAAAACACTGTATGAACTGCTGATAATCCTCATTCATAGCACAATGAAATTTTGTTCTAGGTTAAGTGACAAGAATTTGTACCAGCAGGGAAAGAAGACTTCCTAGCCACTTCATGCGAACTTTCAAGCACAACTTAACCATTAACCAGTTGTGTGAATGTCTGCTTTTAGCAAAACAGGTTCTTCTTCTCACTTCACAGAAGGAAGAGGAAGTCACTGCTGCGTCCAACCAGACTATTTTACATGTTGCCTTTATGGCTGAAGAGCGCAACACAATTAAGTCAGAGTTGTGGAGGACCAGATCATAAAGCATGGGTGTGTATGGAGGATAAACAAACACATCAAAACGTTTGTTGATGCTTGTTTAAGTGTTGCTCGCTTGCTAAAACACACAAACATGATGAACGAGAAAAGCAAAGATGGTGTAAAGACATACACTAATGAACTGAAACTGTTTAAAACGGTTCGAAAAGAAAAGAAAGTGATCTAGTATATCTTTATTTTTGATAACTTCCGGAGGCAGAGTGAAGAATAAAGCTAGTGAACTTGAATCATGGATGAACTTTAAGCATGGAATTTCC